AGCGGGCGGGGGGCGGGGGCGGGGAGCGGGGAAGGAAGGGGGAGGGCAAGAAGAGGGGGCGGGGGAAGGCTCGCCGAGCGGTCCGGGGCACGGGAAGAGGATGTGGTTGCAGGCGTCCCCCTGCGACTTCTTGAGCAGGACGTACTCGCCCAGCCGCGGCTTGATCTGGAACGACTCGTCGCCGACCAGCCGAGCGACCTTATTACATAATAATATAGGAATTAGGAGTATAATATACAATTATTATGTTATATGACCAGCCGAGCGACCTTGTCGGACGCGCCGCCCGCGCAGTTGACGACGTACTTGGCGCGCACCTGCGGGGCACGTCTCGCTCTGTTGTCATGGCCGTGTCCTGGACATGTCATGCGCATGACCTACGTCTCGCGCACCGTCTCCCTCGCGACAGTCACGCCGCCCATCGCGCGGCGCGAGCCGGAGCCTCCCACCTTCATCGCCTCGACGTCGACCGCCTGCTCGCCCTTGACAAGCTGCGGGTAGTCCTTCCACGGGCCCGCCTCGTTCTCGCCGCCAAAGTAGCGGCCGAGCGCCGGCGCCGCCGCCGAGAGCGCCTTGCGCAGCGCCGAGAGCGGGCCGCCGCCCGTCGCCTCGACGAACTCCTTTGGCTCCCAGTGCTCCATCTGGATGTCGAAGAGGCCGGCCGCCTAGAGGAAGGTTCAGAGACGTCCCGAGAAGGCTCCGGCAGCCGGTCCGGAGTCGAGTTAGGAGGCAACCTTGTCCTTTGCGATGCCGCGCACCTCGCGCCGCGTGCGCACCTCGACGCCGTTGTCGGCCGCGTTCTCCGCCAGCGCGATCGTGTACTCGTAAGGGATGAGTGTGCCCTGGCACGCGCGGCGGAGCGTTGGCAGGAGGCGGCGGAGATGGCGGCGGGGAGGGAGGGGGGGAGGCTATGTTTGCGGTGACGGAGCAGCAGGGGTGTCTGGTCTCACCGCGTCAGGCGAGTGCAGCGCCGCGGTGGCGCCGGGAGCGAGGCGGGGCTCCATGCGGCGGAGCTCCTCTTCGCCGACAATGCGCAGGTTCTTGACGCCGTTCTCGGCGCCGCGCGCGAGCAGCTGTGGGGCAGGGCATGGCGCTTGTCGTGGTGGAGAGCTGAGGCCGGGGCTGTGGACCACGGCCGTGCTGCAGTAGAGAGGACGGGAGAGGGGGGGGGGAGGGGGGGCGTGCTGGGCCGAGAGGCTTCCGCGCGCCTCGTGCAGATGCGCCTCCTGCTCCTCGCCAAACGCGACCACCAGCGAGCCGGTAAGTTGGTAGCCAAAGTGGAGCTCCGAGTCGAGCTGCGGGAAGAGCTGATTCCCCTTCCAGCACAGCGCGGCGCGCACCGAGCCGGGCTTGTCATCGAAGCCCGCGTGAACGATGCCCGAGTTGCCCTTGGTCGCTCCCTGGCACACGTCGTCCGCCGCCTCCAGCATCACGACAGAGGCCGTCGTCTTGGAGAGCTCGCGCGCCACGGCGGCGCCGATGCACCCGGATCCGATAATGGCAACATCGTAGCTGCCGTCCGGCTTGGCTGACGAGTGGCGCGTGATAGACCGGGGGCACGGGCCCGCCGGCGTCTTCTCGTTCGAGCCTCCCGCGATGTTGAACTTCTCCTTGCAAAGCTCGAGCGGCACCCAGTGGCCCGCAACGTAGGCGCCCCCCTCGCCATGCACCTCGCCCTGAGTGACGGCGGTGGGCGCACCGCAACGAGGGGTGGAGCGCGCGACGCGTGGCACGACGAGGCCGGACGCGGAGCTCACGATGAAAGACAGCATCGAGGTGCAGAGACAGCTGGAGGGCGAGGCCTCGACAGACGTTGAGGAGAGGACCTCGCACCCAATCAGCAGAGGGTGATGAAGCCAACGAGAACGAGCCGAGGCGTGTCGCCGAGCACAAGTGTGTTTCTTTTTCACGACGTCGCCGGAGCGAGTCTCCCTACTCAGTCTGTAAAGTACCACAACCCATGGCTCTGTGCCCCGCTCGTCCCACCGTGTCCACCACGGCGCACGGGGTGATATGGGCGGAGTCTGTTCCAAGCGCGTGTGCGCACACACGGCCGAACATACTGCTCCTCGAGGTAGTCAATCGTCTTGTTGATGAAGGTCTGCGCGGCGTAAGAGTCGTGGGTCTTGTCGTTCGAGACGTGGACAAAGGCCTTAGTGTGCAGCTTGCGGTGGCGAAGGTAGCGGCGTTTAGCGTATATAGGCGCTATAGGGGGTGTCGTGTCACTCTAGACACTTGAAGACTCGTAGACCCCTTCAGGCCCACGGCGACGCCCGCGGCCTCGGTGAGCGTCATGCACAAACACAAACAGCACAGTGCGTGTTTACTTCAGAGCACCACGTCGCTCTCTCTCTCCGCTCTCCTCCCTCTGCCACGCTCTCCCCGGTTCTCTCTCTCTATACCGTAATTGACCTACTCATGACTCCTGCCTCTTGGGCTCTCGGGTACGGTATCCAGCGCGGCGAGGTCCAACTCCGCCGGCGGGTCCCACTGCACGCGCCCAGACTTCGTATGCGAGAAGAAGACACGGCCGTCCGAGGTGGCGTGCTGTCGCCAGCCGTACTTGAGCCGGCGTGTTGCCCCCTCGACGGCGTGCACGACAATCTCGGAATCGGCAGGGAAGATCCGCTTGCGCGTGGTGGAGACGGCGTGAGCGGCGGTGATGCAGACGCAAGCCTGCACCTGCATCACCAGCGCGAGCGCCACGGTGAGGGCGCCCTCCACGCACGAGAGGCGCAGCGCTTGCACGAGGTCGTGCTCCGGCTCCGGCTCGTGCCAGCGGTGGAGATGTCGTGAGGCGCATTCGGCGCGATGAGGGGCATAGAGCGTGCGGAAGATGAGCAGCACGAATATGAAGAGCGAGAAGGGAGCAAGCAGCGTGTTGAGCTCGTATGACGAGAGCAGCGAGTCGTGGTGCTGTCTTCGGTGGCCATGCAGGGTGCAGATCCCTGCGTGGGAGAGGGGGGGGGGGGGGGGGGGTAAACGGGGGCAAACGGCTAGGTCCACTGCGGTCTAAACGGTCTAAAGCTCGCGGGGCTGCGTCCCGGGGCAAAAGGAAAGGTGCAGCTCGGCAAAACCCTGCAGGAACGGCAGGGGTGCTCCCACCGGCGATGCCTCCCCAAAAAAGCGCGGGGGGGGACATCCAAAGGCCCCATCCCGCAAAGCAATCGGGAAAGCCGGCCCCGATATGATCCGCACCGCTGTCATGAAAGAAGAGAAGTGTGGCCAGCATGAGTCCCACAATGGTTAACCCCAGCTGCACGAGCACGAGCCAGCCAGTAAACCGGTCGCAGGTTTGCCATGACTCTAGAAGGCGTCGGGAGAGCGGCCGCAAGCTACCACGCGCGGCCGTCGAGACCGCCTGCCCTTGCACGGGCCGCATGCGCCGTCGACCGTCAGCAAAACTGCTGACGGTCTGCGCGCCGGATTTGAGGAGCGTGGGCGTGCGCCTTTTTAACTTCGGGTACGACGGGCACACGAAACTTGGCACGTTCTCAACGGAAGGATTCGACGTTTCGCCCCCCCGATCTCGACCCACCAGATGCCGCCGTGACGTAGCGGTCCGGGGCCAGCGAGACAGACAGCATGGCGAGAGAGACACACACACACAATCACCATGACTGCAATGGGGAGGCGCGGGTCACAAGAGCAACAACACACAACAACACAACTCTGTCTCTCTCCCAAGAGGCACTGTTTCAC